CAGCTAGATAGGTAGGTAGATAGATAGTTAGGTAGTTAGATAGATAGATAGGTAGGTAGGTAGGTAGGTAGATAGTTAGATAGATAGGTAGGTAGGTAGATAGGTAGGTGTATGTCTCAGTGAATATAGCACCGATCAATGTTATGTACTGAAATCATTCTATATAGACGACAAAATACGATCGCATACGGAGATAATACGGTCGTTTACGATCATAAACGCTCTGTATACGATCTCCGTATTTCTCCGTATACGGCCACGGAGATATACGATCACATGTATTACGGCCACATACAGTCGTATACGGAGCGTATATGGCATGTAAACGGTCGTATACGACACCGTATACGATCGTTTCTGACCGTATACGGAGTCCGTAACAATGGACCTGGGACTGCTCAATGATCATGTTGGCTTAATCGCGGCATTTATGTTCCGTTATATCAAGATCATTCAGCAAAAGTATTAGAATATTATATCGAAGATTCGAGAGCATCAATTTTAATATCTACCAACAATTTTGAAATCATTCTTCGACCATTAGCTGAAAAGTTCAACATACCATTAATAACAATTATCCCCAAAGATTTGAAAATGAGCACGGGTGAAAACGAAACAATAGAGGAAGATTCGGATATTTTTTCAAGTAGTACAGATATACATCGTCATAGAATAGGTATGGAGGAAATAAATTTAAAAAGACTAAATAGTTTAATTAAATTTCTTCCTCATACATCTATTAATCTATATGTTCATATAGATTGATATGATCAATAGATTTCTCTCATATCTAATTACATATATTTAAATCATCTGTAATTAGCGCCATCTATAACCCAAATATCATTCATTGGTTATATTATGAACTGTTGAAAATACGGAGAAATAACAACAAACAAGCTAATTTCACCATTCCAACCGATATTTAACTACGTAGGTCATCGATCGGGTTCATCAACGTAATCATTATTCATACTCGATTTATAGATTAACGTTTTATTGTTTATTGACTATTAATTATTTGTTTATTTATTGAAATACACACACATATATACAATGCCGCCACCAACCTCGACGGTATCACGAAAACGAACTCGTTCAACAAATGTTTCTGAAGATAATAATGATCATGAACAAGCAACATCAACATCAACAATTGTTTCTTCTCAACCAATTAGTACAGCTCCGCCTAAACGTCAACGTAATAATCCACCATCAACAACATCTTCCGTTGTATCACATACAAATTATTCACTTCGAAATCGTTCAATAACATCTGATACACAACATTCATCAACACGAATATCATCTATTGAGAATTCTCAACGATATAATTTACGTCCACGACATTTACAATCACAAACTCAGTTACCTCAAATTTCAACTTCACATTCAATTGGTGTATCACGTCGTCCTACTTCTACAACTCATCGACAAATTCCATCTACGACAACAACAACAACACAACAAGAACAACCAACATCATCTATTGTTCAACCACGACAATATCGTCTTGTTTATATATCGGATGATGATGATCAACCAACAACAACGACACAATCATCAGCAGCTATTGTTAATACAACTTTTAATTTAGTAACTGATGATGAAGATGATGATTTAACACGACCACAAGTACCTCCACGTCGTACAGCAAGATCAACATCTAATACTGGTCATAATACACGGTAAATACAATAAATAATTTTCAAATGAAATTTTTTAGATTTTTCTTGTTCTATAGTTCTCGTACATCTACTGATCCAACTAATACAACGACAATAGATAATCAAGATTTTTCTAATGGTGGTGTAGCACATGTCCGTCTTAATCGTGCTATTGAAATTGTTATTGATTCTATACAATCTCTTGAAGGTGCTGTAAATAATTTTGATCAACTTGTATTTCGTCTTATTTATGGTCGATTAGGTACACGAAATGAATTTGAAAATATTGAAGTAAATAAATATATATATATATCTATTATTTTATTTTTATTTTTATTTTTTGTTTATCTAGGGTATGATACGTTTATCTCGAATATTAAATTTAAATTTTCCATCACGATTAACACAAGATGAAATAGATGCCTTACCAAAAATAAAATTTATTCATAAATCCGAATCAACATCATCTATTTTATTAGTTGAAAAATGTCCTATTTGTTTAACTGAATTTAATGATCAAGAAATAATTAATAAATTACATTGTACACATTTATTTCATCTTGAATGTATTTCAACATGGCTTAGTGTAAGTTTATTATTATTTTGAAAGAATGAGACAATAAATTTTTTTGTTTTTGTTTTTTGATATAGGAAAATGATTCATGTCCGACATGTCGTCGAAAAGTAAATGGAGATTAAAACTTTTTTTTTTGTTTATGTGCCATATTTAAAAAAAAGGAGCATCACACTAGCTAATTATTCTTGCATTCGTTTCTAATGAACAACGTCAAGCCCGGTGAGAGTTTTTCTTTTTTCTCTCGTTCAACATTTTTATTCAAGAAGAAAATGTATGAATGAAAGAGATTATTTATATGTGTTCAGGTTCTTCTTTTTTTTTCTGTTGTTGTTGTTCTTCTTATTTCTGTAAAAAAACACAAACTTGCGTGATATACATATACACTTATACTCTTCTGTTTTCTTTTTTTTTGTCTTCTGATGTTGATTATTTAGCAGAATGTTTGCGTGTGTGTGTGTGTGTGTGTGTGTATGAAAGCAGCAGCTATAAACATATATATGAATAAAGGTATAAATAAACGCATAACTACATACGTAATCTGATATTTGAATAATATTAAAGAGGAAGAAAAAACGGAAGGATCTTAATTTTAACAAATAGTTTTAGTCTTGATGTAAATTTATTGACAAAAAAGCTTTATAGAGAATCCTTTTCTTTTGCTTGATAATGTTATCTTAATGAGACATGCTTTTTTTTACGACATTGCGAAAAGATAAAGAAGTTATATTAATGGAGAACAACAAACCTCACATCAGGTAACAAATCATGGTTTTCGCAAAAAAACATTGGATTATTATTGGTAGTATAGGAAGTACTTTGGCTATTGCTATTATTGTAGGTGTTACAGTAGGAGTTGTTGTTGGACGACGAAAATCAGAACAAACAACAAATGAACAACGAGCATTTGATATTCTTGCACAAAATCCATTGATTGATGGGTAAGAAGAACAACTGAATGAAATGAAAAATTAATTTTTCGATTCCTAGAATTCTTAATGAACTGTATTGTACATTAAACGTTTTTTTTTCCACCATCGAAAATAGAAAATCATAGATTTTTATTCTATACAGAAGAGATCATGCCAGATTTTTCTAGGTGGATATGATTGTTGCAGTTAGAGATATGCGAGGTCAATTTTAATCCCAAGTTTGAAAATTTTCGACTCGATGAATTCTAGTCGTTTATGACGCACTAGCCACCGAATACAAAAAAAGTATTTCGCATCTTCGAGGCGACTATCTAATCCGGTATTGAAAGTATAAAAGTACGGTTCGACCAAGTTCTAAAATTTTGAAACCATCGAATACAAAAGTTCTAAAACCTATGTCAAGAAATCTTCATTTTTGTCATTCTTGAGAATAGAGATTTCAGTATATCTGTATAATATTATTTTGTTTATATATTGAACTATGTGGTGTGTCTAATTTTAATAGTGAAAATTTCTCGAAATAGATCTTAAATTTACGTACCTATATGATGATTTAACAGTTTCGGTCGCAGGCGATGCTTTTTTCTCATTTTTAGTAATCCAAAACTGTCGAACTCTATACCAGACACTAAGGCGAAAGGTTGAAGGATTGCCGAGATCGAAAACTAAAAAATTTGCTCTCGCACATTTCTAGTCTTGATATACTTACACTTGATCAATCCTTACATAGTATCTGACCATTTCATTTATAACAAAGTCTTGGTTTTAATTTCCGCTCAAATTCTAAACTCGATGTTATATAGATCCCATTAAATTTTTGTTTGATACTCTTAAAAAAAGTTTTTTTCTTTGTTCTAAGCGTTCTAGTATTTTTCAAAGTGAAGAATTCATACAGTTGATTTTTTTATGTTCTGTTACATATTTCTAGTCATAATGATTGGGCTATGATTATTCGAGCAATTCTTCAAAATAATATATCCGGTCATGATTTCTATAATATGACTCAATATGATAGAAAAAATGGCACACCATCTCAAACAGATATAATACGTTTACGAAAAGGTCAAGTTGGTGGACAAGTATGTTTTTTGAATATTTATCATATGTTTGATTAAAATAAATTTAAATGAATAGTTTTGGTCAATCTATACATCTTGTGAACATCAAGGAAAAGATGCTATAATGAGTTTTATGGAACAAATTGATGTTATGAATCGATTAATAGAAAAATATTCTGATGTATTTCAATTTGTTAGAACAGCTAATGAAATTCGACAAGCATTTCAAGCTAAACGTATTGCAAGTTTATTTGGTGTTGAAGGTGGACAAGCTATTGAAAGTTCATTTTCAATTTTAAGACTTTTCTATCAAATGGGTGTACGATATATGACATTAACACATAATTGTAATACTCCATGGTATGATTAGGTTTTTTTTTGTTTCAACAAAAATGAATAGATTTTGAATAACACTGAAAAATCGATTTAATTATTAGGGCTGATCAAAATCAAGTTGATCGTATTAATTCAACATTAATAAAAAATAATGGTTTAACAGAATTTGGAAAAAAAATTATTACAGAAATGAATCGTCTTGGAATGTTAATTGATTTATCACATGTTTCAAAAAAAACTATGCTTGATGTATTAAATATTACACGTTCACCAGTTATATTTAGTCATTCATCAGCTTGGACTTTATGTAATCATACACGAAATGTTCAAGATGATGTACTTCAATTAATTGTAAATTAAAAAAGAAAATTTTTTATTCTACAATTAAATCTTCTGATATTTATTTCGACTTTTAGAAATCTAATCGTGGAATTGTTATGGTTGCATTTACACCAGGTTTTATAATATGTAATCGTCAACGTCGTGTAACCATTCCAGATGTAGCAGGTAAAATGAATTTTTATTCTATTGATAATTTATTTTTTATTTGATTTAGCACATATTAATCATATTCGAAATGTTGCTGGTATCGATAGTGTTGGTATTGGTGCTGATTATGATGGTATTGACGAGTATGTTTTTCATTTTATTTATTGCTTTTTTTTATAAATGCATATTTTGATATATAATTAGCACACCAGAAGGTCTAGAAGATGTATCGACTTATCCAAAAATTATTGAATATTTAATATCACAAGGAAATTGGACTAATGATGATATTATTAAATTGATTGGTGGAAATATTATACGAGTAATAGAAGAAAATGAAAAAGTATATTCAATTTATTATTATTAGTTTTTTTTTTAAATTCTATTCTTATTTTAAAAAATATTTTGAATAACTTTTAGATATCACGTGATCTTCAAAAGATAATTCAACCATTTGAAGATTTAATACCTCTTAATGATTTAATAAAATACAATTTAACACAATGTCGATATTTAGATATGTATACAGATACATCTTATTTGTGATCCATACAAAAAGACATTAGTTTTAATTGTCAACAAATTTACATTGATTTCAAAGATCGACTTTTTTTTCTTTACGATCAAATTAAATTAACAATTTGATAACAATAAATATAATCGAGCCGTTAAAGTTCAGACACAAACTATTTCTTCATATTCTAATCATTTATCACTTTTCAATGTTTACTCACAGCTAACCAACTTTTTAGTGGATGAACCTATCGGGTTCGGGTTCGTTCTCAGAAATTCTTGGACCCAATGAGCTCTAATCATAATCAGCCATCGATTATTCACACAAGGGGAAGGATTCGAATTTAACGGTGCAGAAAACTAAGTCTATCATTGGAAAGAGCACGATTGATAGAGTGTATAATGGAAGGATTTCTATTCCTGAAAAGTCTTAAATGTTTCTGATATGCGAAATCTGTCTACTGTGATACAGAGTTTCATTAGTATTCGAAATTTGCGATGTATTTAAATCATTAAATATTTTATACTATTTTTGTTCATAAATATACATACACTAGCAAGAAACTCGTGGCTTCGCTCCGGGTTAGGCACTGTGTGTGAGCTTGAGTGTAACTATAGGTGCTAGTGTATGTCTCCTTCGCATACCCACATTCCACAAGATAGCTCCAGAATATTCTCGAATTCTGTTAATTCTATATCGTTTTGGACAATTCTAGAAAATTCCAGAAGTATTTATCCTATGACCTTTGACCTGGTAACAGACGGACGGACAGACAACCATGTTTTATTATATAAGTATGGATTTGGAATTACCATTGAAATCTGAACAACATCGATTATTTAGTTTATCAAAACTTCAACCAGAAATTTTTTTCTTGGATTCTAATTACTTTTATCCTGATCAAAATTGTAATTTTCAGAAAACACGATAGAATTTAGCAAGAATTTAAATAACTCAATTGAGTGTTCCTTCAACTTATCTCTAACTGATTTATTCTAATTTAATATTTTTCAGATTCGATCCATTCCTAACTAAGATTTAATTCTTTACCAAAGAATTTTTTTCAAAAAATAGCTTGTGAGTTTGAATTTCATGAGATACGAGTATTATATATTCTCAACTTTAATTTTTTATTCTCATTGAAAAATCAATCATGGCCGAGTAAGAGGAGTAGACTCTCAGTTGCAGCTAAAAAATGAAAACTTTCATTAGTAGTAGATTTAAATGATCTCTATGATAAAAATTTCAGAATGTTTGCTTTTATCATTCGTGATGTACGTGTTACAATGGCAAAGAAAAAAACAAGAATGAAATTCGGAAACGTTTAAGTCATGTTGTGGAGATAAAATCTCATCAAAATAGTGTTCTACATGCGTAGAATTAATTTTCTATTTATGACATAATAATAAAATATTCTTTTCCAGTTTTATTATGATAAACACTTGTTTATTTTGCATACAAGACAAGATCATATAGTGTTTACACTTATATAACCGGGTCAATAATATGTCATACAAGCAGTTATGATTCGATCCAAAAGAAAAAAAGAGCAAGAATGTTTAGATTAACAACAAACAGAATATGTCAATATACAACCACTTGTTTTATTCTTGTTCATCGTCTTTTTCCTAAAATTAAGAAATCTTCTTCATTGTTTTTTTTTTTTATAGAATTAAATCTTACTTCAAGATCATCTTCTTCATCATTTTCACCTCCACTACCTTCTTCTTCATCATTTGTTGTTGCAGCCTAGAATAGAAAAATTATCTTTCAAAAGAAAAAAAAAACTTGAAATTTTCTTACCAAATAATATTGAAGAGGATTAACAAATATATCATCTTTAATAACTTCACCAAATTCATCATTACCTGCTTCACCATTTGTATCTGTAAACCAAGCCATAAAAGCTCCATGTTCATTATTATTTTCTGTATCATGAGTACGTTTACGTGATTCACCTTCACTTTTTTTACTACTACTACTACTGCTACTACTTGCTGTTTGACCATTTTTAGCTTCCTTTACAAAAAATTAAAAAAATAAAGAAATAGAAATTTTATTTGTATTATTTTACAAACATTTTTCCATCGAATTGGTGTTGATTTACATGTTGTTTCACTTGATTCAGTTACACTAAATTCTTTAATGACAATATCATTTTCAAAATAAGGATTTGTATCAAATGTCTAAATAACAAAAATCTAAGAAAATTTCATGAAAATATAATAAGACTTACAAATTTAATACGATAACCTGATTTGATATCATCATGCTAAATAATAAAAACAAAAAGAAAATTTAAGATTAAAATAAAGAATCGTATTTTTTTTTCATTTACTTCTTCAACATCAACACGTTTAAGATATTGTAAAATATTTTCATCATTTTGATCTAAATAACTTGATAATTGAGGATGATTAAGAAAAACACTGATCCAAAATGATGGAATTTTGCTAATCAAATCTGAGCCTAAAAAGAAATTCTTATTTATTTTTTTTTGGTTAAAAAAAAAGAAACATACGTTTTTTATAATTTGGTTGTCGAAGTTTATTATATTTTTGTTCAACTTGAAGAATTTCTTCACTTGCTTGTTCATTAAGACGATCAATTTCATTTTGAACATCACCAATTACTTCAAATGCTTTTTGCATTTCAGCTTCTATAAATCAAAAAAAAACAAATATTTCATTTGATTAAAAACAAAGCAAAAAAAAACTAATTACCATCAAGTTTAATTTGTTTTGTATTTGGTGCTGACATTATTTAAGTATCTTGAAAAGAAAGAACACGATGATAAATGATATATGAAAAATTGTAAACAAAAGCGCTATGTCTTTTCTTCTTGTTTTGCAATGAATTGACCAATAATAATGTTAAACGAATGACTGACTCGTTAGCTTTCCTCTCTTTACACTTTACTGTGTCATGTTATTGATTTGAAGATAGCGACATCAAGCGGAAACATACGTTTATACTAGTTGATGAAGTTAATTATAAGATTTGATCTTAATATATAAATTCAATTCTCCAGACAGATATTAAATAATAAATTATTGAAATTTTTATCCTTTTTTTTTTTAAGGCATGTCATATTGATAGAGATAAGAATGTTATCTTTCGTTCGATTATATTCTGAAATTTTACTTAATCTCATGTGTGAACTATTTTAAAGTAGTATTGTTATTTTTAATTGTTTTACAAATCTGCAAGTCTATAAACTAAATTTAATTGCATTATGAAACTTGGCAATATCATAAGAGTAAAAATGAAACTCGAATCTATGGATTTGGATTTTTTTCAAACACGACTCCTATTTCTGCATTCAAAAAAAAAAAAAAACAGAAAGCAGTATATTTATTGTGTAAATTTTTCTGAAGCAACTGATTAAAATCATTCGACATAGATTTCTACAAAAGTTAATCTATGAAGTTTATTTCGTTAATATTTATTTCATCTTTACTTTTCTCATTAGATTTTGCAAAAAGAAAAGAATTTGTTAATTATAATCTCTCATAGTATATTAACCGAAGTTATATTAAATGTCTCTCATGTTATAAATTTCAACATTCATTAATAACTATATTTCATTAAAATCATTGAACTATTACATTTGACATATTCAATAATAATAATTATAATATAAGTTATAGGATTAGTTAGCTTTTATTAACTTCAATAAACATTGAAACTATATAAACTTGTTTACAATTTTTCATCAAGATTAGGGTAAAGATTAAACGAGGATAATAGACACAAAGATTTTTTTTTTTCTGTCGTCATAGCATATGTCGATTATTGATTTACCTTCGATCAGTCACGATGATTTTTTTGTCTTTTTTGTGTATTCACATCCGATTGTATATATAATGAAATAAACAATGACTATTTTACTTGTCGTCTAGATTAAAGATTTATTTACCATACACTACACCTATGGCGAGACCGAAAATTGATTATATATATATTGTCAATTGTTCTATTTACTAATGTCAACGGAAAAAAAAAATGCTAGATTAATATTGAGATTTCGCGATATGTTTGAATATTTATTTCAACAATTGAATTCAATTATTTCGATTACGTTTACATTATCTAAAGTCAATCAAGGACAGATTTTGTTTTTTTCATTTTGATTTATTTAAAATCATTGCAGTGTAAAAACAAAACGAGAAAAACAGTCTGCTCTTTTTTTTTTTGTTTCGAATGTAATAAATATTTATTTATTCTTAAATAATAGAATGTCATATTTGGGTGTATGTATTCAATAGCTTGAATGTTTTTTTCTTTTGTCTTTTATACAAATGACGTCCGACTTCGGATTTATGCAGAACAATGAGAGGAAATATTTCATATACAACGAGACAGAGAGAGAGAGAGAGAGAGAAAAACCATTATTTCATAACAAAGAATAAAAATAATATATTTATTAGATGATTATGACTTATAGCCATTTTCACATTGACTAAATAATCATTTTTTAGATATGAATCAAAAAAAAAGAAAAAAGGTTACTCGTTCTCTATTATTGTTGAAATAGAAATTGTCATTCACTCGTTTGACATACAAAAATGAATTCTCTTTCCTTTCTTTTCTCTTGAAACGTCCACCTATCTTTTGGTTGTTCATTCTTCCGATTATAATCAACCACTGGCACCATAATTACCTCTTTTTACTTTTCAGTTCATATACATATACACGCACACACATACATACACCGGTCGATGTGAGTCTAGTCGATGATTATTCATATAATTTTCTTTTCTCTTCATTCAATATTGAACAGTGATTGAGTTACAACATATTATTCTAGGATGACATCATCATCTTTACGTCCATCTTATAAAGAAGCACAAGAGCGTCTTTTAAAATGGTGTGAAAATGTTACTAGAAATTATGAAGTATGTAATATAGTAAAAATTAAATAAAAATCTTACAAAAATTTTACATATCCTATAGTTGACATTTAAATAAAGATTTTATATATATATATATATACGTTTTTCATTTTTATAGTCAGTAAAAATACGTAATTTTACAACGGATTTTGCTGATGGTCTTGCTTTTTGTGCTATAATTCATCATTATTTTCCGGATGAATTTGATTTTAATAAATTAAATCGTGATAATAAACAAAATAATTTCGATTTAGCATTTCGTATAGCTAAGTAAATTCAAATTTTATGTTTGTTATTTTTGATAATTAATATCTTCTTTGTTTTTTTCTTACAGAGAAAAAGCTCACGTTCATCCATTACTTGACACGGATGATCTTATACATGGTGAATTGGATAAAAAATGTGTATTCACTTATTTACTTACTCTTTATCATGGATTAAAAAATCATCAAACAAATAAACTTCTGCTAAGCTAAAAAGATAAAATTCTTTTTCTTTTTTCTTTTAACTTTTGCTTTTTATTAAATACATTCTATCTTCTTCTTTTTGTTTTTGTCGTATCTTTAAAACAAAAATCGATTATAATATGTTGTCTCAATAGAAGTATATAATTAAATTTAATATAAATATCAATAAATTGTCCTTATAAAAATTATTAAAAATCCAAGATTAATTAGTTGAAATGAATATTTATTTGCTTTATTACAATAATCTATTTGACAACAATAAACACCATTACTAAGAACATTAACTGGATTACATATTGATGTTGAATCTTTTACAACAAGACTTCCGGTTATGGTTTTCTATTGAATAAAGACAATATATTATTTTAATAAACATACGACAGTATAATTACTTACACGACAATAATCATTAGGACGTGTTGTTCGAACTATAGTAGCTACTGCTGGATCCCATGTTGTTCCACAAGGATTACATGCATAACATGATGTAGCAGCATGAGTAACTGTGAAGAAAGAAAAATCTGTTAGAAGTTAAGGAGAGAGAAAAAAAAAGATTCTTACTATCGAAAGATACGGATAATATGAATAAAATGATTGTTAAGATTGTCATCATAAATTTCAAATTGAATAGAAATAACTAAATTTTATTATAAAAAGAAAGATATGTTCGTTTTCTTTTTTTTCTTTTCTTATTTAATATTTTAACTCATCAAATATACTTTTATTTGAAGACAAATATTGAAATTAAATCAACAGTTCAACATAATTATCATATATGATATATATATATAACGAATATAATTGTTACATATAGAATAGGGACATTATTACAAAAATGTCAATCATTCAAGGTTCTTTTTTTTTATGGAGTTTTATATGTAATTTGTTTCATAGTTATCAATTATTTGCGTAGCAGAACTAACACTCGTGATTTTATTTTATTATTACTAATCTGTAGTCTCTCGATCAAAGTCATCTTTCTTATATGTTTTATATTTAAAAATTAAACATAAAATAATAATAGAATATTGACCAGACTGAATTCGAATATGACCATAAGAAATCTCTATAGTCTTCAAGACAACTCAATAATATGCCGTTTGAACTCATATTGAATTCGCAAGGAGGTCTCAGTAGGATTAGAAAATTCCTTAGAAAGGTTCATGACTGTGGATCTTTGAAGCCGAGCTATGACTGTTTTACTGAATTTTTGAGTTGAAATTTAGTTCGTAGATGGATCTAATGATTTTTAGAATAGCCGGAAAGTTTCAGCCGAAAAGAGTGTTCATTTGTCAAGATATTGAATTTCCAACAAATAGTCGCTTGTCACAAAAATCAAGTTTTCTTGATAATTCAATATCTCGACAGAGAAACATTCTTTCAGAATATTCCCAGAGTCATTAGACTTATCTATGGTCAAAATTATAGGCCGAAAATTTTGTAAAATGGTCATAATTTGACTCCAGAGAAACATTATCATGAACTCTTTTTAAATTTTTCTAGTCTTACCGAAACTTTCTTGCGAACTCAAAATGAGCTGAAATAGTGGATTACAATATGGATAATTCTCTCATACGTAGATCCAAAAATATTTTTGTTAAATGTTTGTTAGGCTGGAAAACCAGTATATAAAACCCGGAAGAGAATCCCTTATGTTCATAATCGGAATCAACATGATCGATAATCCATAATTCGGTAGCTTCTGTTGAAAAAGCGATTGATCAGTTGAAAACATGTACAACAAATTAATGTTTTTTTTTTCTTGCCATAAAAGTAATCATAATAAGATTATTAAATAACGAAGTATACGTTGACTCAAAATGGTCAACAAAACTAATCAATCACTAAAGAAGTTTTAAACATCTAACAAAAATTTTATAAGTAGGTAGAAAAGTGTTCAATAACAACGTTTTTTTGATTTTTTTTCTATAATATTTATCATTGATGACTAGGTTTCTAAAAAATTGGACATGGTAGTTTCCGGGTCGCAGAAAGTACTTTCCAAGTCATTTTAAAGAACACAAAATTCTGAACGAAATGCGGCGAACTTTCAATTTGTTCAGAATTCTATGTTCTTCAAAATAGCTCCGACAATGCCTTCTAGGATCAGAAAACTATCATGTCCAGTTTTTAGAAACCCTACCATCAATGAAAACTTAATATAGAATGCATTAGATAGAAAATTCTATTGACTATTAAAATCATCATTTGAATTTAAGCTAATTCCTTAACATTATAGAAAACAAAAAGATCAAAAATATGTTGCTGTTAAACCGTTTTCCATCACTATACATCAGATTTTCCATGGTTGAAGACTTATTATAATTCTTTAGTCAATTGACATACTATTGTAAAATTAGTTGTATTCTCAAAATATTGATGATTATAAATAAAGATGTTGCCTTTTTTGTTTTTTTTCTTTATTTTTATCACCAAGCCTTAGCTAATAATCAATAAAACGAAGACATCTTATAACAAAGATATGAGCAAGAACAACATAAAAACGAAAGTTATATATGTCTAATAACTAGTTCAGAAAAAAAGAAAACAAAACAACAACATTCTTATACTATTTTTGTCCAGTAGAAAAAAGAAAAACAACAGCAGTTGATAAACCAACGGAAAATAAATAGTTAACTGTTGGTGAAAAATTTTTTAAAACAAAAAATGATAATATAATAAGACAAACAAGATAGAATGCATTATTGTAAAAAATTGAATATGTTGTTGCTTCAAAATCGGCTACTTCATTTTTACGTGCTAAAATTCTATTTCAAAAACAAAAAAAAAACAAAGTAGAATATCTTGTATTTTTTTGTTTTTTATGAATTTTTTCTTACCGATCATCTTTATCTTTTTTATTTGCATTTTTATCATTAGCAAAAATTTTTGAAATTTCTCGACTAACAGCATCTTCACGTTTTTGTGCAATTCTAAAATAATTCATGGAATTCTTGTTTTTTTTCTTAATTAATGAAAATCAAAACAATTACGAACTTATGTTTTAAAATAAATTTCATATTTTGATATGCTAAATTAAGAAAATATGTGCTAATGACAGTACCAATAATAAAATGAATGAAATATGATGAAAAATCCATGTGATGAATACGCCAGAACAACCCTGAAACAAAAAAAAAATAAAAGAATTTATCATATCGAACAAGTTTTAATAATTAAATTGTTTTACATAGTGGAATAGCTGATACAACTGCAGCATTACCACTAAATAAAACCCATGATTTTGTTGTTACATTTCGACTAAAATCTTGAAGAAGTAAATCTTCATCACTAGATATTGATCGTTGATTAGACATTGGTTTATTTTTGTTTCCCTTCTATATCTAAAAATTAGACGTTTGAAAAAATTTTTTCTCCCTAGTAGAAATCAAATCTTGACTGATAATTTAGCCACGTCTTACCATAGATTAATTAATAAAGTCTCTAGTATTTTTTAGATCGTATACGTATGTAATAAAATGAATAAATAATTTTTTTGTTTTGAATATTTTTCTTTTCGAATTTTCCTATTAATGTTTTAATCCTAATGAACAGATCATTTTCATCGACAGATGACACTACTATGCATTTCGAAATAGAAGACAAAATCAAATTAAACTTGAGTAACTCGTGCGAATGCGAACAGGTATTATGAAACGATATTTATCAATCGGGACTAGCGGCGGCGCCAGGATTTTTGGGCTGGATCCTCTCAGCCCTTCTGTAGGACCATCTTTGCCAACAACTTTAAAATTTTCTCGGTGACTCAGGCTTCTACGGGACTATATTTAGCAACAACTTCAAAATTTTTCGAGAGGCTTAGAGAATTTTTTGGGGGCTAAGCCCTTTCTCTTGGCGCTGCTACTAGTCGGGTTATTTCGAACTATGACTAGCGGAGCTTTTTGTCGATCGGTTTTCAATTGAATCTTTAGAAAATAACTATGCTTTTTAAAGATGTTACATTGAATTTTAAGTTTTAAAACATAGATTTGGTTGAGATAATTGTTCTTTTTTGAACTGTTCAAGAGTTATTAGAATTTACTTGATTTTAGCTAGTTGCTCGAGAATTACACAATAAAACATGTCTACGCATAACATAATATGACAAAGTTCACATTAATATGAACTAATACCTAATGAAACAACTGCTTTCAACACTAGCAGCTAATGACAACCATTTCTAACTCAATAGCCTTTCTTTCGATTTATGTCCAAAACACTTCGTGTCGTTTGCCACGCGTCTTCTCGTCATAACACAAATATTTCTTCATGACAGAAGACTTTTAGTACAAAGCTGTTGGAAATAATGCAGGGAAGGCAGACGCGTATATACACACACACACACACACACACACACACACACACGAGTTTCTTTCAGAAAATGAGCGTTTGTATGCACTTTCTTATTGCGAAAATTTATTACTATTGATTTCGATGCGGAAAAAGCTATAACAAAATTACATCGTTTGTTTATTGATGCAGTTTAATTGCTTCATTATCATAATCATTAACGTAATTTGTTTAATTTTTATTAATAATAAATGTTCAAGGTTTCTTTACAAGGCACCATCAATCATTAATCTTTAAAATTTGTTTAACTATTTGAAATTAACTTCTATAGACATTGTTTATTTGATTAATTAATCATCCGCAGAAAATGATTGAATTCTTTTTCGAAACGTTTTCTCCTATATAAAAATAAAAAATATTCATATTATTCATTGTTGATGTCATTACGAATTGGTGATCAACAGCATATTTTTCTTCGAATCTATGTACATAGAATGAGAAGAAGAGAAAGTCCCAATGGACTATTTTTCTCTGTTTTTCTTTTCTCAAGGCAAGTGGGGCAAAAAAAGACAACTTGTTACTTTATTCGTCTACCTCATAGCCCTCATCATTACACGACTTCACGATTGATTTTTTTTTTGTATGACATAAATGGCTTTTTCTATTCGTTCGACACTGCTTGTTTTTATTGTTGCGCTCTGTAAAATCACATATGTGTGGACTATAGAGTGTTATTCAACATATCAAGTCTCTTCCGGAACAGTTCAGATCTCTTCAGCTACTGCCTTAATAACACCTGAGAACGAAACATGTTCGGTTGTTGGTTGTGTCTGTTATAGTTTTCAAACAACTTGTTCCTCCTCATCATCAATAGCAGCTACTTATACACCATGTAGTCAACAAGATCAACAAAATGGTGTAACAAAATGGAAATGGGGTCAAACTTCGAAAACAAAATGTGAACAATTACAACGACAATCTCAAATTTATCTTAACATGATCTGTTGTGATACGAATCTTTGTAATAAACAGTACGATCCACCACCAACAACTTCGGAACCAAATAGAACTTCTTCGGATTCACATCCAAAATGGTCTACTTTGATTATCATGCATCTTCTTCTCTTAGCGCATATATTTCTTCAAGACAAATAACTAGACGAAAATTTTCTTTTTTCTTTTTTGTCGAATTATTGAACTTAGAAGTGCATTCAAAATAACCATATACTCAATATATAAACTTATTTATTTCGTTTTTCAATCGCATTTAGAATTCTTATTTGATGTTAGACTTTTTTTTTCTGCTATCTGCTTAATTAAATTCTAGAATAAAAATCTCATTACACAATATTGTTCTCTGTATACATTAAGCAAGTTGATCTGAAAAACAACCACATGTTCTATCTGATGAATTCAAGCTATTCAGAGAGAAAATTTCGTCACATCTCATCGGAGTTAGTGGGTACATCTATATAGAGAAAAAAAAACCATTTATGGTTTCATATAAATTCAATATCAATACTTCATGTCAACGTAGAGAAAGTAAACACGTATCCAAACATACCTGTGCACACTTTTTTTTGATTTATTGTGAAAATCTATTACTATCAATTTTGATGCGAAAAACACTATAACAAAATAACATGTTTTGTGTATTCATCCAGCTTGATTGCTTCATTATCATAATCATTAACCTTTCTTGTTGACTTCTTATCAATAATGAATATTGATGGTTCATTTACAAGACACAATTTTCAAAACTTGTTTAACCATTTGAAATTAACTTGCATAGATATCGTTCATTTGATCAATTTATTATTCTCGAAAAAAACGATTGAATTTTCTTGTATAAATAAGAAAGGTTTTATTTGTCCTTTATGTTAATACAAAATAATGACAAACAACATATTTTTGCTTAATTTATGCACATAGAAATGAGAGAAGGGGAAAGTTTCGATCTACTATTTTCCTCTCTATTTTCGATGGCAGGTAACAAAAAAAGAAAAAAACAGCTGTGCTCCTTCGTTCGTCTAATTCATAGTTCCCATTATTATACGACTTAACACTTCATTTTTTTGTCCCCACAAATGACTCTCTCTATTCGTTTGATGCTGCTTATTTTCATGGTTGCACTATGTAAAATCAAGTTTGTTTGGACTTTAGACTGTTATGCTGAATATGAAGTAGGTACCCTACGATCGAATTGGGTCATAACTCCTGCCTTGATAACACCTGAAAACGAATCATGTTCGGTTGTCAATTGTGTCTGTTACTATTTTCAAACGAATTGTTCCTTGTCATCATCAATAGCAACTGCCTATTCACCGTGTAATGAAGAAGATCAACAGAATGGTACCATTAAATTGAAAATGGGTCACACCTCGAAAGCAATATGTGAAGGACTGCGTCAGCAATCTCAGATCTATCTTAACATAACTTGTTGTAACATGAATCTTTGTAATGCGCCATACGATGAAATAATATCAACTACTTTGAAACCAAATGGAACTACTTCTGATTTACATTCGAAATGGTTCACTTTGTTTATCATACATCTTTTCATTCTATTACATGTATTTTTTCATAACTAATGACTAGATGAAAGTTTTCTTTCGTCTAGGTATTATATTTAAAAAATATCTCTTCAAAATTAAATCGATTCATCATTCGATAACTATCGATTCTATGTAAAATCATATTTATTTCAATTTCTAATTGCATTTGATGTAAGACATTATTTTCTATTGTCTTCGAAATAAAATGCCAGAATAAAATTCTTATTATAGAGCTTTGTTCTCTGTACACATCAAGGATGAGTGTCCTTGTCTGAACGCTTTTGGTTCTCAAAGATTATACATCTGATTAAGCTGAAATTTTTAGCACAGATAGAGTACCAATAATAAGGCGATATGTGTTTGATGAAAAAAAAAATTTGAAATGGATTTTCGTGATTTTTTTATTAGAAATTCTAGTTTGCATAGGGCTGCATTCTAGTTTCTCACAACCTCCATGTAACTTTGTTCAGTTGGACTGATATTTTCACTAGTGCTACTTGGATATATTCTCACGAGGTAAAAGCGGTCATTTTCTTACCTGACTTCCCTACCCGGGTTTACAAGAAACTAAAATTCAAGACTCCAACTTTGGTACTGAATATTTATGTATCTCTCTCATAAAAAAAACGGAGATTTTTGGAAAAGTTTAAAATTGTCTCTGACATATAATATTAGGTATCTCAAATAAAATTTCAGCTCAATGAAATAAAGTTTGATGCAATTCGTACATATCTCCTTGTTTTTGGTGCTCTAACTGTGGTAAATATTTGAGCTTGATTGGTTCTATCGTGTTTGAAAATCGAAAACGGTAAAAAAAAAGCTGTTAGCACAATCCCTGAGAGATTAGAATGTGAAACACGATGTAGCTGTGGTTACTAATCATGAGAATATTGTTTTATTCGATCTATCTTGGAACCCATTTGTTCATTATCTTTTACTTAATCCTTTAGAATTACAAGAAGGAAGCAGCTCATATATTTCCATTAGATGTTAGTGATATATGATTGCTAATCGTGTATCAAAAATGCCTGTCATGGTCTATGAGAAGTTGCAAAGGATACGTAGCAGTTCGTAGAGAAATCGGCTTATTTTATTTTGATAATCTGTTCATGTAAAAATAAAGAAGATGATAATAGAAACTATATCTTATAGTTTTTTAAAATGATTTTAGTAGATGTTTACAACTCTAGAACAGGATTACGTTTTCAATTTGATCAGAATCAACACAAAAAAATGGCATCAATTTTTTCAGAACGTTGACCGAAAATCAGAGTCATGGAAAAAATTTGAAACACACATAGATAGATCAATACCATTTTTTGTGCTGATTTCTAATATGCTATCTATTTTACAACTAAAATCATTGAACACTGACCAAAAGGCGCGGTTTTTGCCTATTGGAACAAAAATAGATTTATAGCCCATGACAAACTCTATCAATTGATATAATATTCATAGTGAACAGACTCTACTTTAATGCATACGACGGTTTATATCAAATGTTAGCATCATATTTTAATAGTATTCAACTAGTCTCTTAATAAGAACTGTTTTATTCGAGATTTGTAATTCTTACATAGATGTCGCAGATTTACACTGCTAACTTTCATTCACCGTTTCATTTCTCTTTCTATTGTTTCAATATATAAGAAAATATTAGACAACATTCATTGTCCCACTTCGGTGGGACATATAATAAAATTGGAACGATACAGAGAAGATTAGCATGGCCCCTGCGCAAGGATGACACGCAAAATCGTGAAGCGTTCCATATTTTTTTTTCTCTCGTTTTTAACTGCAGATAAATTACTCAGGACACCACCAACATCAATTTTGAATTATAATATTAATCTAGCGAGTAAATTTGCTGCCATCCTAAACGAATATTTAGTTTGCATGAGAAAGAATTAATTATGGAATTGCTCATGTGTTCTATTATATAAGAAACATTTGTTACTGATTTTTTTATATGAATTTATATCACATAGACGAGCAATTTTAATAATCTAGATAAGAGAACATCATAGGATGTTTTTCTTCGCCCTGTTCGGCATTCTTTAATAAACGTTATCAAATGTTTTTTGAACAAAAATGAAATGAATAATAAAAAAAAACAAACAATTGACATTCTTAGGGTGAACAAAGCAATAATGAAACTAAATTCGAGTTCATCTTATCCTCAATCATCTCAATTTGATATTGAAATATTAGCTTGTAAGCAAACTGGAATAGCGCATTAATGTTCAAAAGCATGGCAAAGTACATCATCTATCAATGATATATTCATAAAGCTGAATGAACTAAAGATCTTGATACAACTGTTCTTAAGGCCTTCCTCTGTGAAAAATCGATTTTGAGATTTTTATATGTTTGGATAGCCTTCGTTGTCTACTTTGGAAAACAGTATGGTTTATCAATATTCTGATGCTTTTTTTACGGTTTTATCCAGGATTTATTGATGATACTGAAATCATGAAAATTTTTTTCTTCTTAAAATGTTAGTTATTGTTAGCTTTTGAAATTTTTCTAAGATTTCCTATAGTGGAGAATCTAGCAAAATGTGTGAAATAGCAAGTCTTCGAATCAGTGGACTTTTTTTTTCCTACCGGTATTCATTTAATTATGAAATTATTTTCAGTGTTATGTCAGAAGAGAGGTCTTGTAATATAAATATACAATTATCTTCTCCTCGGCTTCATTCTTTCACATTTATAATCACTTCGTTCTTTTTTTTTTTCATCTTCTGTCTATTTAAGCAACTGGTATTGTTGGTCTACGCGTAACATGAATACCCACACCTTATAAGTTCTTTCTCTCTTCTAGATTTAGATTTTTGGACGCTGTACAAGTACGCGCAAATCTTTGTTTGATCTGCCATAGTCAATAATATCTCGTAGACTACGATCGATATGTTTTCTCGATCGTTGAAATAAACAGAAACATTAATTTTCAATTGTAAATTTTGTTTGACATTTTTCTAAAAACCGAGTTTTAAAATTTTTTTTTTCTTCTTGTTATTTTCATTATTTTCAATAAATAAAATAGATTCAAGAATGAATTGAAGAGGAAGAAAAAAAAGAAATATTCGAGCATTATTATGTTCATTATCAACTGTCATATGACCTGAATATGCTTGAAGGAGAGGATGTCAAATGTATGAATTAGTAAAATCAGAACAAGTTTATAGAAAAGCAGTACTTCAGATTCATTAGGATATGAAGTAAGAACAAAATTATTAAGTTTTTTTTTTTATTTCAAAGTAATAATTTTTATTTAATTTGAAAGTTTCATAGTGATCAAATGAAAAATCAGCAAAGTTAATACTTTCAGAACTTAATGAAGGTTGGTCTCAGTTGGAACTAGAATCAAATTAATTATCTCAATATTTCATAATTATTTTTTGTTCTCCTTTACTTATTTATCTGGATTTAAGCATATCTTTTAGCTATTTTTTTTTTATAGAACAGATATATTTTAAGGTAGTGTAGAACTCAGTCCTATAAACCTTCGTTCTACCGATCTCTACGTGCTTTGGTTTATCACAAGGTTGAACTTCTTCATTGTTATTTCATAGAAACATAGATCATTGTATGAACAAAAGAAAAAATATTTTCTTTCTATATCATATACTGATGAATTTCAAAAATATAACTATCATAAAAATTCAAATGCTTTGGTTTCCCTTTGAATGATTCTCCATGAAAATATAGTTTGCAGGAACTTTTAACAATCATTTCGAATTCAATAGCCTTTCTTCTGATTTACATCCAAAATACTTCACTTAATTTATTATATATCTTCTTGTCATAGCACACATATTTCTTCATTATCAATGACTTGAAAAATGATTTCTAGTGCATAGATACAGAAAAAAAATCGATGCTCAATTCAATGAATATTTCATTTTCAATATGTACATGACCTAATCGTAAAACTATCAAAACTGAATGTCAACAGAGAAAAAAACAAAGGTGTGTACACACATGCATTTGCTTCTTCGTACACGCTTATGCACGCGGTTCCTTATCATTCAAATCTATTACTATCGATTACGATGCGAAAAAAGTATATCAAAATCACGTCATTTGTTTATTTATCCAGTTTGATTGCTTGATTACCATAACCATTCATCTTTCTTGTTTAATTCTTATCAATAATGCATGTTTACTGTTTCTTTAAAGAAGCACAATCAATCATTAATTATTTAAACTTGTTTAATTATTTGAAAGTAAACTTTCATAAATATTGTTTATTTGATCAATTAATAACCCTCGGAAAACGATTGAATTCTTTTTCCAAAACATTTTCTTTTTGTATAAAAACAAAAGAAAAAACATTCATATTATTCGCTCTTCATGTCGTCACGAATTAGTGATCAAAAACACATTTTTCTCTTCATTTATACATATAGAACGAAAACAGAAGCAAATCCCAATGGACTATTTTTTGTTTCTTTTTTCTTTCAAAAGTAAGTAAAAGAAAGAAAAAAGATAGTTGTGCTCTTTCATCCGTCTAGTTCGTTGTTCTTATCATTAAACGACGTAACGGTTGGTGATCGTTGTACAGCACAAATGGTTTTCTCTATTAATCTGCAGTTACTTATTTTCATCATTGTGCTTTGTAAGATTACATATGTATGGACTTTAATTTGTTACTCACTACATCAAATGCCTTTCGATCCATTCAAGATGATTTCAGTTTGTGCTGAGATAACGCCTGAGAACGAACCATGTTCGGATGTCAATTGTGCATGTTACAGTTTTCAAACGAATTGTTCCGCATCATCATCAATAGAAGCTGCTTATACACCATGTAGTCAAGAAGATCAACTAAATGGTGTAATGAAATGGGCACGAGGTTATACCTCAAAAAGAAAATGTGAACAACTACGTCAGCAATTTGATATCTATCTTAACATGACTTGTTGTGAAGAAAATCATTGCAATAAACACTGCGGTACGCCAATAAAAAGCACTTGGAAACCAAGATTAACTACTTCGAAACCAAATGGAACTACTTCTGATTTACAGTCGAAATGGTTCACTTTGTTTATCATACATCTTTTCGTTCTATTACATGTATTTTTTCATAACTAATGACTAGATGAATGTTTTCTTTCGTCTAGCTATTGTATTTAAAAAGTGTTTCTTCAAAATTAAATCGATTTATCTTTCGACAACTATCGATTCTATGTAAAATCATATTTATTTCAATTTCTAATTGCATTTGATGTAAGACATTATTTTCTATTATCTTCAAAATAAAATGCCAGAATAAAACTCTCATTATAGAGCTTGGTTCTCTATACATATTAAGGATAAGTGTCCTTATCTGGCCGCTTTTGATTCTTGAAGATGATACATCCGGTCAAGCTGAAATTTATAGTATCGATGGAGCACCAATAACAAGAAGACATATGTACGATGAAAAAAAAATTTTGAAATGGATTTTCGTGATTTTTTTTTTATTGAAAATCCTAGTTCGCATAGGGCTGCATCCTGGTTGCTCACGATATCCATGTAACTTTGTTCAAATGGACTGAGGTTTTCACTAGTGATACTTGGAACACCGAACATTTACGTATTTCTCTCATAAGAAAAAAAAAAAAAATAAAATTTTTGGAAAAGCTTAAAATTATCTCTGAGATATAATCTTAGGTATCTCCAAAACAATTTTCAGTACAATAGGATACGATTTGATCGGAATTGTACTGTACCAGGATACGACTCCAAGAAAAACAGGATTTTTCAGAAAAAAACCGAAAAAATTCCACTTCAAAATTCTTTTCTTCAAGTACATGTTTACTTATTTCCTGATGTTTCATTTGTGCTAAATATTTCAGCTTAATCGGTTGTATCATCTTTGAGAACCAGAAAGGGTAAAAAAAAAACGAGGTGAATATTCTTAAGCAAATCGATCTGCAACATATCACTTGTTCTGTCCCAAATCTAGATATTTACAGAGCAAGTTTAGTGCATACATCTACAGAAAAAATACATTGATGATTTCACATACACTCAAATACAATAAAGATTCACTGAGAAGTCCCAATGGCAAATCTTTTCGGGTAGTTCTAATCTATTCCTGAGACAACTCGATTTCTTAACGTCAAGAAGTTTCAGAAAAAAATTTTGCTTTTTAACTATTTATTCCAACCTATAAATACATAAGTAAGATAAAAATGTAGGAAACAAATAAAATTTAAAGTTTTATTGAAATGAAAGAGAAACATATAACAGGATATTTCGATCTTGTACGGATTTTTATAAATGGTCATCATCAGTTGGAACACACTAAAATAAAATGTGTCGCACTTATGTATCGCCAGTTATAGCATCACAGATTCTACTATGAAAATGTATCACACTTAGAATGTGTCATGGTCGGTCTGCTGACTATTTATTCACCGTTTTATTTTGCACACACAGCTACATATAGCCAATTCAATTGAAAATCGAGAACTTATATATTTTTCTATGCCTTGCTTTTCAGAATATGTTGTGGCGTTGCGGGTCGAAATTCGTCGTAACGACCACTTCGTGTCGCAAAATACGACATATGTGGCACGTTTTATTATAGTGTGAACTTGTAAAAAACCACAATCAAATAATTAAATAAACAACATAAAAATAACATCAGTAACAAGTCTAACTCTACCTTAACTTTATGAATAATAAAATAACCTTAAGAAATATTAACAAATAGTACTATATAATCAAGTCATAATAACTGCTAATATAATGGAAGTAAATCATAGTATAAAGATAGAACTTGAGATTTTTAATTATATAATATAAGTATAAGATCGAAATATCCTGTTATATGTTTCTTTTTCATTTCAATAAAGCTTTAAATTTCATTTACTTACTGCATTATTATCTTACTGACGTTATATCATCAAGAAAAATCGCAAGCTCTATCTTTATACTATGAAAACATGCCACAAGTACAGAGATACCGCAAAAAAAACGATGTTCTATACGATAAAGATTTCATTTGAACATGTGTTCGAGCTAATCGTAAAATTGTCAAAATTGAGTGTCAATGCAGAGACAACAGATGCATGTACACACTCTCTCATTATTCAAATCTAAATTTATCGATTTCGATGTGAAAAAAATATAACAAAATCACATCATTTGTTTATTCATTCAGTTTAAACGCTTAACTTCCAGTAACATCACTTATTGAAAGGAAAAATACTCCTGCCTTTCAGCTACCTTGCAGTATTGGGTACTACCTAGTGATATATTCAATAGCCCGATATCTTTCCTATTACTATGACTAGCTGTAGCTCACGACAGAAGACCTTCCTGATCTAGAACTCTTGCTTTCAATGGCTTGAACTCCTCATGCACACTAAAGTGACCACACAGAGGAGGTTTTCGGAAAGCTCTTGTAACTTTTGAAAGAAAATAGATATAAAGTTGGAATTTACATAGCTCGAAAGAGAAGACTTTTCACTGTTGATTGGCCATATCATATGCCAAAATCTAATGGAAAATAACTTCAAAATCTCGTTTTCAAAATATTGATTAACAGCCTATCTGATTAGTCAATTGCTATTGGTATTCGTTTTTTGATTTGTTATTATATTTACATAAATCATTATTGATATCACAAAACGTTTAGTTTTTTTGTTTTTAGATTTATTAAAAATAAAAAGCAAAATTCTATAGTCTAAGTTAATTTATCTATTAAAAATAAAATAATAAATACAGTTCAACGTTAATATAAATTCAATCTATAAAAAAAAAAGAAAAAGTTTTATGTTTGAACAAGATGTTGACTTTTTCGAAATTCATTTAACCAAATTTGATGAAAAATTGTTGGTAACCAACGAAGATAAAGTTGTTCATCCATTTGTATATAACCAACAATACGTACTAATTTTATTTGATTACTATCATTAATTAAAATTCGATCATAACGTTCACATAAATATGTTTGATTTTTTTTTCTTCCACGAACATATAAACATAAATGAACACCAAAATTTTCATATAATGAATTAATTAATGAAAGTTTTTTTCTTACTAATAAATAAAAATTATTCATAAAATAATATAAAATTTTTAAATCAATATTTGTCTTTTTTGCTATAATACCAATTCGTGGTGATGATGCAAGAAAAACAAGTGAAAATTTTGATGTATTAAATTCATAAAGTGGTACATAATATGATATAGGATCATTAAAACATAAATATGCCATTGATATACATTTATTTTGATAATGATTATATTTTATTTTTGATAAAATAAAATCTTTATGTAATTGATTTAAATAATCTATTGATGATAACCAATGATTATTTGTTGTTTTTGATGTTATCTAATTTTAGATAATGAAAATTTTCAAACAAAAAAAAAAATTTCGTTTTTTCTAATACATACCATTATTTTTGCTTCTTGACAATAAGGTTTTTTTGGTACACATAAATGTGCATGAAAATGTTTATGATTTTGTTGATACCATTTTCCACAATGAAATGATAGAATAGCATTATTATCATATTGTGGTTTTGAAAGAAGAAATTCTGAAATAAGTTCTATAATTTGTTGAATTTCATTTTCAGTTGCATTTAATTTACGATATTTTTCATGATGAATAATAATAAAATGAGGTCGTGGAGTTAAAATATCGAATATAAGTTTTATTGAAAAATTTGATTTTGTATATGGATAATCAATTGATATTTCATGATTTTGTTTAGTCATTATATTGTTTGTAAGAATGAAAGATTATTCTAAATAATGTAATCATTTGACGTATTATATATTTCTTTTCTCTATCGGATGGATAGTTTATATACGAAATAGTGAACGAAAGAATACGACAAAATAGGATAACTGATATTGCCTAAAATATAAATAATAAAATCGATGTTAATCGTTTTGATAACAGTTATACAAATAATCATCTATAATTTAACTGATAGGAAAAAAAACAATGTTAAATACAATATTATCATAGCTATCAATCGATGATAAAAATTTAATTTTAAAAATTTAATAAATTTATTGTTAGAATAAAACTTATTTGTAATTTCACCTCGAAATTTTTTTCTATTGTTCATTTTCATTAGATGAAATAAAAGGAAAAGAATTCTTTCACACGATTCTGAATGATATAACCATTATTTTATCATTTAAAGAAATATGAAAATTATATTTTTGAATTTATTTCTATTGAACACTAAATCAATCAAATGGAAAAAAAAGCGCATACATTTTAACCCATGTAAATAAAAAGAAGAAAAACTAAAATGTCTGATTCTTATTTTGATTTACAATTGTCTTGAAAGTACAGTTTGTTGAAGATTATTCATTGGTATTGGTGTTGGTTTAGTAATTGATTCATTTATTAATTGAACTTTCATTTCACTTGCAATTTCTTTTAATACTTTACTTAATGCATTAATAACATTATCAATTTGTTCTAATGTTATTGTTAATGGTGGTTCAATACGTATTGTTTTAGCATTAATTAATGTGCCAGCAACAAGAATTTTTTCTTGAAATAAACCTTTTGAAACACGAAAACCAATATCTGTATCAGGAAATTCCAAAGCTATCAGTAAACCTTTACCGCGAGCATCAAGTATTAAATGTGGTGTATATGGTTTAATAGTTGATTTGAGTTTATTTAAGAATATATCACCTACAGTTTGTGCACGTTCACACAAACGTTCTTCAAGTAAAACATTTATTGTTGCAATTGCAGCTGCACATGCTAATGGATTACCACCAAATGTTGTTGTATGTAAAAATGGATTTGAAAATATTGGTGTCCATAATTTTTCTGAACCAATAAAAGCACCTTGAAAAAAAAAACAAAAGAAAAGATAAATAATAAAAAAATTTCAAATTGAATAATTTTTTTCATCAATTTTTTTATTTACCTGCTGGCATAATACCACCACCGAAAGCTTTTCCCAAACATAATATATCTGGTTCAACATTCCAATGTTCAACACAAAACATTTTTCCTGTTCGTCCCATACCAGTTTGAACTTCATCAGCTATTAATAAAGCACCATATTTATCACATAAACGACGTACACCTGGAAAATAATCATCACTTGGTATAATTACACCACCTTCACCAAGTATTGGTTCAAGTAAAACAGCAGCTAAAATAAAATAATAGTTTCATTTAATACTTAAATTCATAATAAATCAACAACAAAAAAAAAGGATCTTACCAGCATCATCTCCCGTAAATTGAAGACAAGCTAATGTTTGTTCAAGTGCATGTAAATCATTGAATGGAATATGGCGTACATTATGTAATGATGGTAAAAATGGTTTTCGAAAAACAGCCCTAGAAAATACAAAAAATAAATAAATAAATAAATAATTATATTGAAATATTTTTTGTTTTTTTTTCTTCTTCTTACTTTGATGTTGCACTTAATGAACCTAAACTTTTACCATGAAAACCTCCAACAGAAGCAATAATTGTTCGTCGACCAGTAGCAAGCATAGCCATTTTTAATGCGCCTTCGACTGATTCTGTACCACTATTTGTAAAAAATGTATATTTCAAATTTCCTGGGGCTAAATCAGCTAAAATTTTAGCTAAATAACCACGTAATGGATCAAGCAATTCTTGTGAATGAAGTGCTTGACGATTTAACTGATCAGTAACTGCTTTTAAAACTTTTGGATGACGATGGCCAACACTAAAATATTATCAAGAAAAAAAGAAACAAATTAAAATTAAATTTATATTTTATTTTATTTTTGTTTCTTACTTATAAATTCCATATCCACCTAAACAGTCAATATATTCAATACCTTTAACACAAGTAAATGTTGAACCACTATCAGCCCATTCAACTAAATTTTAAAAAATAAAACAATGAATCATTAATTTCATTTTGTTTTTTGTTTTTCGAAATAATAAACTTACCAGCTACATAATCAGGTGAAAATGATTTCCGATATTGTAAAAAACCCGGATTAATATATGCATTAAAATTATCCACTGTTTCATCGATTAATTGTTTCTTTTCTAAAAAGAAAAAAAAAATACCAATGAATTAAATACTATTAATAAAAATAAAAGATTTCATCATACCATCATCATTTAAATCGCGTTTAGCGATAAGATTAAGAATATGTTGTGTTTGTTGAGTAATAGCACTCTTCATTGTTGGATTAATTTTAATTATTAAATTGTAGTTGATAATATTAAATTTATTGATTAAATTTAATACGTTGTCGTTTATAATTACGAAATGTAGGACCACTAATTGTCGATTGAGTATGAATTGAAAATGATTGCGTGCAAACTTCCACCATCAAGCAAAGTGACTTGTTGTCAAATCTCTTCTCGCCTGATTTATTAATTGATAAAAAGAAACAAATGAGTGCTATGAATATCATCGTTTAATTCTTGTGCTTATATACAATTTTCGATACGAAAGAGAGAGAGAGAGAGAGAGAACTATCTGCTGATATTTACATCGGCAAAAATCATTGTGTGAAGAATTACACCTGGATAAAATCATAGAAAATGAAGGGCTATAACCCTGTTAGAACATTCATTTTCAAAGAGAGTGAGAGTGAATAAGAGAAATAGATAAGTGACCCGGAGAGAGAGAGACAAAAAATAGCTCTGATATTCGTCTCTCTCAAGCCTACACATTTCTGATAATCACACAATGGTCCAGAAAATTCGAATGACGTAGTATTTCTGTCATTAAACAATGTTCTTCAAATAAAAAGTACAAAAATTGACATGTCATGATTTCGATTGTTTTTACGTTTAGCTTTTCTTTTATACTAAAAAAAACCGTTTGCAAGCAGGAACTCAACTAAATAAATGTAAATACAAAATACATAAGATAAACCTTCCTATTGTACTTTCTCATTTACATTTATTTAGTTGAGTGCCTGCTACTTTAATAATAATGAGAACACATCGTACAGTGTTCGAGTCTCGGTTTCACCATAGTCTTTTTCGTTCCTCCTATAAGTATAGGTAACTATTGGATATGATGCAATTCCATAGCCTTTTTGTTTCGTTCTTCATATAAAAAAGAATGAAAAGAATTCTTTTTTTTTCTTGTCTACAAATTATTCATGAAGGTTTATACAAACATTTATTTAATATCTTTATATGTCAATATTGAAAATTTTCTAAAGTATTAGATAGAAAATAGAAAGATTTCCCTAGAAAAATGCTAATCATATAATTTTATAATCAAATGATGCGGCAACTCCATCCTTTTGGTTTTTTTTCCATCATGAAAACATAAAGATTTCATCTGGTAAAATATGGAATTAAGGTACTGTAGTTAACAGAATTTGTTGTATTATTATTGTTGACCTTTTTCATCAATAGAAATAATTTCATTTCTTAATTGTAGTTTTTAATATAAAAACTTTTAATATTTTTACAAGAGTTGAAACGATGAAAAATAATATTAGTTTTATGCAATATTGAATGTTTCAAGCTCATCGAAAACTTTTGAATATTGTTCTGCTTTAACTGTTGATTATTTGAATGAAAGGCAATGATCATAATGAATCTTTACTATCTCCATTACAAATTAATATTTCATATAATGTTGTAAAAGCTTTGATATAGAGAACGATCAATAAGTAAATAGAAAATCATGATGAATTCTATGAAATCTTAACAATCACAAAATTCACTAGAATTCATAAAGATCTTAAATAATCCACCGAATTACACTAGAGTCGTATTATTATTCCTTCTTAATACATAGAGACATGGCATTGAAATCTTTTTAGAAACATAGCAGAATTAATTAAATTCAAACAAATCTCAATAAAATCCACAATTTTTCAGTTTTGAAAACATCAGTACGATTTATGTGAATAGTATAAAATTTAAAATGTGAAATACACCTTGTGATAAGCAAAGGTTATGCTATAGAAAAAATATCATGGACATCAATGTCGACCTTGAAAAACAGACCTATTGATTTTATATGACGTCTTTTTCACCTATTTCCATTACACTTGGAGCCCTGATATGTAAGCACTGACGATGCATTCACCGGCGAAAAAAAACATCTGCGAAAAAAAGGAACAGATATAGATAACACACATCAAGCAAATCAAAAAAGTCACATCGCACCGTGTTTTTCTTCATTATTTATCATTTATTTTACTTAATATTTATCTCAGTTTAAAGTTTAAGTAAATGAATAAAAAAAGCTATCAGTAGAAATAGACGATTTAGCAATAATAAAAGACAATATAAGTAAATCATTAAGCAATCAATCATGTTTGTTTTAAATTTATGATTAAAATCCATTTTAATATGAAAAAAAAAATAATCACATACAAAAAAGATATTAATTACTCGTATTATTTCAATTCTTGATTCATATTGAAAATAAAACGATGCTTAGAATTCGTTTGGCAGATTTTTATCGAACATAAACTCAAAAAATTTTTTATTTGTTTGCCTTTGAAAATGTTGTGTCTGGTGGTTACAGACAGTTCGAAAGCTTTCTCAATTTAAAATGAACGTGATTTTGATCAAGAACTAACATTTTGTTAAGAGTAAAAAACAAAAATTTCAAGCAAAAGAACCGTGATTAATCGAACGGTCAGAGGCATTTCGAGCGGGGAATCACCTCCTCAATCTTGAGCAGTTTTTTTCCCAGTGTTTTATTTGTTCTTTTGCTCACTAATTCTCAAAAAAACACTCATTCCTCCTCCCCCATTATGCCCACCTGTGTGAATAGTTAAGCACCCAGTTACCCGAATAGTTAGTCGACGCGTCTCGATCGGTTATCACGGCATGAGTTATTTAACTTCTTAATAATGTATATTTCAAATCAATACCTTCTACTGCCTGAAAAATGAATATTGAATTAAAAGAACAGAATATCAAAAACATGACATCCTGACTAAATTAATTGTCATAAAATTAACGCATTTCGTTTCATCACAAGAATTGAGTCTCAACGAAATCATGCTTGAACACGTTCCAGAAATATCCATCGTGGCAACGGCAACTTGTTTTTAGTTCATCGAGGTGCGTCAGCTGCAATGGATATCATAGAATTCTTCCTTACAGACGAACGAAAAAGATATTGAACTGTTTATTTTCTACCACATATCTGGTTGAATGATACAGTCTAGGACAGAGATATGCGAACAAAAAAAAGTATAGGGCTCATGTTTGTTTTTTAAATTATCTTTACCATACCACCACATTTGATGATTAATTTAGGAATTGATAATTCACCATTGTCATTCTCAATGAAAAGACGAGATACTGTAGTATCATGATCTTCTGATTTCTGTTGCTGACAAGTCAGAGAGCGAAATCGAACGCGAATTGAACTAATTTTCAAAAAGATAGTCGAACTTTGGATGAAACATCGATTTTAAAAAAAAACTTAATGCCGTCAGCTAAGATCAAATGGGCTTGTTTTAAATGCTGAATTTAATCTCTGTGTAATACAGCCTTGTTTCTCTTCGTAATAGTTACACAAGCTGTGTTTATGATGATGAATCACTTCTGTGCGTCATAATTCTTGTATTATCTTGTTTGTAAAACTTCTTCATTTTTCTGTACTAGGACGAATATTCGTCTGTAGTGACGTGAGATTAATATTAGCACTAAAAATGTTGATTCTTACCTAATTTGTTTTAGTAATGTGCAAAAATTTTTTAATGAAAATGATAATTTTAACAGCAGCTTTAAACTTCATGTTTTTATTTATTTATAAATTTAATTGTCGACGTTTCGCCGATTCACTCGGCATTATCTCTGTAATGTGTGCTATACCGGCGTTTTTTTTTCTGAAAGTACTGTATCATAGTGTATTGTACCAAATTGAGTGGATGTTGTTGAAGTCTGTTAGAATTGAGTCGATTTTGACGCACTCGGATCATATGGATGTGTCTGAGATGTCTGCACTAGTCACAGCACCCAAATCGGCTTCAATGTGCAATAAATTTTTATTATAGATGACGCTACAAAATATTTTATAGAACACACTCTCTGCAATTATTTATAGCTGGAACCAAAAGTCGTAAGTGACTATTACCGGTTCTGCATATATGTAATACTGGAAGCTTGAATTCAACTACTCAAGTATTCAAATTTTAACTTCTCAAATGTTCTGCGGATATTCATTGGGGAAGCGCGTTTCCCCACCTAACACACCTTTTATTTCAGTGTCGTGGCGTGGGGATGCGAAGTGCTCCCCAAAGAGCCGTGACCCATGCACGTCTCTGTGTACACCATTATACCTACTCAGTGCTGCACAATAGCTAAAGCTTCTCACATACCTCTTGTAGCATCCCAGATAATGTCTGAAGCATCTCAACCAAAACCTGTAGTATCCTATGTAATGCTTATAGCATCCTAGGTGGTGCTTGTAGCATCCTATGTGGTGTTTGCAGTATCCTAGGGGATGCCTGTAGCATCATCTGTGATACCTATAGCATTATAGGTAATGTCTGTAGCATCATAGACGATGCTTGTGACATCCTAGATGACGTTTGTGGCACTGTAGAGGATGCTACAAGCATCCCAGACAATACCTGTCGGTGTTAGATGATTTTGGTAGCATTCCAGGAGTTGACTAACCAAATACTTGAATGGTTGCATAGATGAATACTTGAATAGATGAATACTTGAATAGTTGAATACTTGAATAGATGAATGGTTGAATAGTTAAATACTTGAATGGTTGAATACTTGAATGGTTGAATACTTGAATAGTTGAATAGATGAATGGTTGAATAGATGAATAGTTGAATAGTTGAATACTTGAATGGTTGAATACTTGAATTCAACGTTCAAGTTTCACACTACTGGATTTATCCTGTACTGAAACAAAATCCGAATAATCCATGGTCGTCCATTTAAGTTTAATTAGCAGATGTCTTCTCTTTATATATTTATTCTATTTAATTTTTTAAATCGGAATATTTCTTTTGCTTAAAACATTTTAACAAAAATATTCATCAGTATACATGAAACAACAATCAGTTGATATTAAAAAAAAAATTAATTTTCCCAGACATAAGCCTCTTTGTAAGTGTATCAAAGTAAAAGAAATTTTACTATTCCAACTCGTCATCTCTTATTTATCATCATAGAAAATTAATTTTTTTTAAATTCCTTTATTAGGATTTGATCTTGTATACTATCATCTATAGATTCAATTTTTATTTATTAAAAAGAATATAGAAGAAAATATTGATTCAAGTGATAAAGAATTAGTTAACAAATAGAAATTCTAGAAGATTAATTCAAATATTAAAATGCACTGTTTTTCATTACTCAAATCTAACAGTATCAAATTTCGAGGTGAAAAAGTATAAAACAAAGAATCAAGTCTTTTTTTTATTCATCTAGTTTAATCAATTCATGTTTTAAATAGATTGGACATGCCCCATTTAATAACGAAGTTCTTTTAAAGATTGTATTAACAAAAGAGTCCTACTTTTTCGTTTAACAAATAATATCCATGTTACACTTTTGTTCACACTATTGCCCGTACTACCACGGTACTCTTAAGTGTCGAAAGTAGATTGTCAGTCAGTGTATAAACGACAGAACCACAAGGCTTGAGAAAACGAAAGCATACTCTAGATTCATGCTTTGTAGGTTATTCTTCTTCCATTAGATTGGTAGGTTTGAGCCGCATATCACATTTTTTGTGTAAACGCTAATATTTTTCGCCGCTCCTGGCAGCTAATACTAACATATTCTTAATCAAGCAGACTTAGAAAATGTTTTGAGGAAAAATTGAATTTTGTACAAGTAAATATTGGATCATACATCGTCAATGAATTGAAGTGGGGTTTCGTCATTCCAAGTGAATGCAAATTTTTTTCTGATCATCATCACTATTACATGTTGCAAAATGTGAGTTTGATAGAAGAGATACTAATTGTATTTCATTTCAGTGATATTTAAAATCACGTCCTCTTTCATTTTTAACATGCAGATGAGAACCTCACAAAAAATCTTGAGCCTATCCTAAAATCAAACTGTTGCACCGCCTATGAATCAGAGAACAACTGTTGGTCTAATAGTAGTTTTTATCCGATTTGAATCACATGAATACCTATTGATAATAAAAAAAAAAAAAATAAGCGAAAAATACATTTTTGTTCTTCATATCAGCAAAGACAAACTAGAAGATCGAAGAAAAAAAAAATGTGAAATATTCGAAAATAATAAAATAAGTTATATTAATTATTTTTCCATTTAAATATTGATTTCATCATCTTGCAAATAAAATGTAATGCTTGTACAATCTACTATTTAAATACAATGTAATATAGTAAGTGTTCTGTACCTTTTACCTCTACTTTGTACACCTACTATTAAAAATACTGAAAAGTAAATACTTTAACCAATTGAAATGAAGTTCGATAGATATCGTTTAGTTGTTTATTTAATTAGTCTTAAAAACAAAAGTAAGTTTTATTGTTTGCCTTACCTTGGTTTGTTTGTATAAAACAACATTCATTTCGAACGAAGGTCTGATAGATAGTCAAATCTTTTTATCCAATCAAATTACTACAAATAAGTTATTATGTTAAGAAATTTTCTTTTTGAATATTTCAATAACTGAAATAGAAAGCAAATTACTATGTTTTGCATTTAATGAGAAGAAACCATCGCACTGCTGATAGTATTCGGCAAAGTAGAAAGAGCACTTAACTTATTTGTTAAAGTATTATTGAAAAGTTACTGAATAGATTTTTTTTTTCTTTTTCTTATTTTAGATTTCTAATATTGTTTAGTTCTTTTTTTTTTGGACAATTTAAATTAGGAATTTTAATCGAATTAACTTTATAGTCTTGTGACGAATATATTAACATGCACGAACGAAATCAAGAATAATTATTGTCCATTTCAAAAAGTCGGTGCGTATAACTTTTTTCTGAATAACTTGAGAACAACAAGAGATAGAGTCCTGCGATTTTCACCATTCGAAAGAGCAATACCAGGACTATCTATCTAAGTAAGACTCATTAAGTTCGAAAGGTTCTTTCATGGCTACTTTTAAACTGACATTTTTTTTCAACGTCTTTTTTCATCAAATTTCAATTCAAATTATACACAAATGCAGACGAAACTACTCTACATTCGCAATAAAATGTTGAGTCACTCTTTTTCTCCAATAGGATTTCTTAAGAACATGATAACTTTTATAGAAATATGGGGTAGTTTGGTCTACATTTGTGTATAATTTGAGTTGAAATTTGATGAAAAAAGACACTGATAATAAAACGCCAGTTTAAAAGCAACCATGAAAGAACCTTTCGAATTTAATGAATCTTACACAGATAAATAATCTTAGTATTATTCTTTCGAATAATGAAAACCGCAGGTCTTCATCCTTGTCTTCTTTTCGAGTTATTCAAAAAAAAAATAGTCACATCCACCGACTTTTTGGATAGACAATGGTTTGATTTTGATTTTTTTTTTTACGATAGTAAAAATTAATCTAGAAAAGTAATTGTTTCTTAAACCTAGTCAGATTTATATATGTACATATTTGTCATTATCTGTATGTTAATGGGTTTTTTTTTTCATAACAGCATGTGAATAGTTATAATTTTATCATTGTTGTTATTGATCAGTTCTTGACTATAGTAACAGAATTTTTATTTTTAGAGATGTATTTCCTCACCATCATTTCGTTATTTTTTATTACTTTTATTAATCATACATTCCCACAAGAACCAGATTCATATGGAGTTCATGATCATAGTCTTAGTCGTCCATATACAAACAGTATATTTAATAATATGTATTTAAATTTGATTATTTGTTTTTGTTTTAAGTTTTTTCTACTAGTCGTTCATATTGGCATTTAACTGGTAATACATTAGCTACGGATCGTTTTATTCGTTTAACAGCCGATACACAAAGTCGAACTGGTGGTTTATGGGATACAATACCTGTTAGTTATCCTGATTGGGAATTACAAGTACATTTTAAAGTTCATGGTGAGGGAGGAAATTTTTTTGGTGATGGATTAGCTATTTGGTATGTTAGAGATCCAAAATTAACTGGTAAGCATAAAATTTATCTTACAATTAATCGAACTTAAAACTCATTAATTTAGCATTTACTTTAATTTTTTTTTATGAATGACAATACATTTTATATATGAGAAATTCTGTTGAATAGTTTATATGTTGTCATTCTTCTTAATGAAATTCATTAATTTTCTTTATATACTAAGCATTAGAGAAAACGAATACTGTAAAAAATTGAATACATTCGAAATCTACATGCAGAGTTTCTCAGTCAATATTTCAGCATATTCTTGTAAATTAACCATTATTAAATATATTATGGATACAGGAAGTACCAATGAAATAGTATCAATACTAAACAATTTGTTCCATATTATACATCTAACACAGACCGTCACAGGGCACTTTGTTTCACCTTGTCCTACTCTCAAGACGGGGACTAGGCGCCCTCAGAGTATATAAACTAAGGTCGCCTATGGAGTGGGTTGTTAACCTTATGAAAAATTTTATTCTCGTTTATATTTAGTGTTTATATCTTTTTTAAAATATAATTTCAAAAGAATATTATCCATATATAAAAACAACTATGAACGCTGCTAAAATTCGATTGAAATTATATAATTTTTAATTAATTATAATCTGATTTTAAATTTATATTTTGCTTTTTTTTCTAATCTTCTAGGATTTTTGTCCAATTTTCTTTTTTGAATGAAATTCGTTAATATAATCAATTTTCGATGATCAAAAATTAGATTATAATCAAATAAAAATGGTGCCATTTCAATTTATTCTTGATGAAGAAATAATATTTATTAATTCAATATCTTGTCTTTTTGTTAACATGGATACATGACACTAGTTAGCATATTCATACAAAAACAAGATATTCATCACTATTTAACACCAGGTTGAGATTCATTTTTTTTTATCATTTGCTTGACTTTCTTATAATTTGAGAAGAAGTGTTCAATCTCTTCGAAATTGAACGATAATGAATTAGAATGAGTATCATATATATATATATATAAGCTCTCCGTACGAGTAGAATGCCAAGACATCAGAACACTCTATACTGATGACAGCCTCTGTTATCTGACTTCGTAATATTCTATTTTTAGGTCCTGTTTTTGGTTATGCAGATCATTTTTGTGGATTAGCTATTATTTTGGATACATATGCCAATACAAACGACGATTATACTGTAAATTTTGTTTTTTTCTTTTTATTTATATAAAATATTTTTCTTTTTGTTTATTATAAAAATTTATTTAGAATACTTATCCATTTATATCAGCTGTAATAAATAATGGTTCACTTCATTATGATAATGATCGTGATGGTAGAGATATAACTGTAGCTGGTTGTGAAGCAGCATTTCGTGGTCGTGATTTAGATACTCGTATTGCTATACGTTATCAAGATAATCGTTTAATTGTATATACTGATATTGAAGGAGTAAATGCGTGGGCCGTATGCTTCATAGTTGATAATGTTCATTTACCAACACATTATTATTTTGGTTTTACAGCTGCAACTGGTGAACTTAGTGATAATCATGATATTATATCAGTTTATACATATCAATTGAATTCAAATGAAGATAGAGAAAAAGAAGATCGTAAAAATATAATACCATCCGCTCCTTCATCTACTATGGGAAATACAACTAATCATACTCCAAAATCATCAAAATCATCGGCATTAAAAATATTTTTTATTGTTTCTCTTTTGGTAATTATTTGTTTGATTGGTATTGGTGCATTTTATTATATGAAACAACGTCGATATCATAGCTCAAGATTATATTAACATTATCATTTTTTGTTATTAAAGAACTTAATTAAAAGTTTAATTTGTTGTTTTTTTTTTTGTTTTTTGTTATTAATCTCATTTAATTATATCAATTGTTTTATCCATTAATTTTACTGTGATATATTTAAGTTGTTTTTTTTTTTTCTTATTTATTATACTTATATCAAAACAGGCAAAACTTTCAACTTTTTCATTACAAGTTGGTTTTTTTTTTGTATAAGATTTTAAGCTCAATCAATTATGAACAAAACATCCAGAGAAATTTTTTTGTATTGTGGTGAAGGTTATACGTGTTTTATTTTAATGAAAAACTTTTTTCCATAATAAACATTCTCAATTAATAAATTGTTTACTATTAAATAATACATTTATATAAACACTGTATGTTACTATATATGGAATATATCTTATTAAATGTTTATTACATTATAAGATCCTTCCTAAAGTCCAAAAAATGTTGACCCCGACATGCTCTAGTCATCGGATACAAAAAACCGGGAAAAAGTATCTCGTACCTTCGAAGCGACTATTCTATCCCGATTAGAAAAATTCATTGAGAGCATCAAAGTATGATTCTACTGGATACCGAAATGTTCAGAAAACCAGATCTAGGTCCAAAAATCTTGAACCCGGCAAACTCTAACCTCTCTCCACTCTCAAAAATTGATCTTGGGTCAGATATATTCAAATTGTATGAAACTTTCAGAATGTGTTGGAACTATGTTTGAATGTGCCGCACTTGAGAGAAATCCTTTCTGTTTTAATTCTTACTTTTTATGCGGAGGAAAAGGATGATATATTCGATACCTCGAAAAATTCTTAGAGGAAAAAAAAGGGTAATCTATTGATAGAAATACTTTTTTATATAATAATAAAAATTTTTTGCAAAAACTAACGTATCAAATAAAGAAAACATATTATTTGTAAAAGATTCAACCGCAAACTAC